TTACAAAAGATTCTTCATTTTAAACTTGGTAAATCTAAAATTCAAATGCCACTCCTACTTAATAAAAGAATGTAGGTGAAATGAACAACCCACTTTAGTATAGTGATATAAATCTCAAATCAAGATTATTTACTTCTTGTAGGTGATATATTTGAGTTCTAAGGATTCCATTTTTTCTTCCTTTACTTAATTAATATATGTAATTAATTTTATTTTGATAAAAAAAATGCAGGTGAAACATTTTTAATTGTAAGAAAAAAAATGTAGTAGGTGTAGGTAGGAGTAGATAATCATTTTTTGTTAGCTAACACCTATCACCCACAAGTGAAATTAACAAAACTCCTAGACATTTCCAAACAAGTAGCCTCCACTTCAACCTCATATATTTTTTCTCCCCCCTTTATAGTCTATTATTCCCTAACTCAACTTTGACTGCACATCTCAGATACTTTTCGATTTCCTCCGGCGGAGCAAAGCCAGAGATCATGTACCCATCATCTTCGTCTTCATCGTCACAAAAATCCATGGGTTCCTCTGGATTAATCCGCTACGGCTCAGCCCCAGGCTCCCTTCTCACCACCGCCGTCGATTCTGTTATTGACTCCGCCATCGGATCATCACCTTCTAATGATCCCAGCCTCGTTGGCCACTACTTCAACGCCGACTCCTCCTCGTCACTTACCTCCGAGTCTACCTGCAAGGTCAACTCATCCAACGATCCACAAGAATCTAAAGCTGCTCTACACGGATCCTACGATGGATCTTCCTCGTTGGTCCGGCAACGAAGTTCTCCGGCTGGATTCCAATATCACTTGACGGAAAACGGTATGTTGTTTTGTTTTTAACTCCTCCTTCCTCGCATTCTGTACACTTCATGTTCAAATGACGAGTTTGTCCTTTCTATTCATTGTACAAGATTAAAGATAAAAAAATAAGCATGAATAGTCATCTTATTATTATTAATTTTTTTTCGGAGATCTACATAATTTCCAAAAAAAAAAAAGAAGAAAAAAACCCAGTTTTATAGATTTTTTTCGGCTAAATTCAATAACTAGTATATTAATTATGTGGTTGATTTCAGTGTAGTCTAAAAATAATTTTTTCTTTCAAAATGATCTATAAATTATCAATTTTGTTTCAAAATGATTTACTTTACAAGCATTCTGTTAACTAGATTAATGGACGGAATGTTTGTCTAGAAAAGTTGGTGTAGATAATTTTCCTCTAAACTTTTGAAAAATGTTAAATATAGTATATATATATATATATATTGCAATATTGTGTTTTTAAAGTTTAAATTTTACGTAAAATGTAATGATTAAGATAATGATTTTAATTTACGTTGAACAAGATTTTAATTTTGATTTTACAATAATTAATATTAAAATTTAAATTTTATTATTTCTTAAAACACTTAATATCATTATTAAATTATATATTTTTTCACTAATTTATATAGAAAAATAAAAAAATTTATTTTTATTTTTAACACTAATAATACATGTATGCATGATTTTAATTTGGGGATTTATAAAATTGAAATGAATTTATAGTTAATTATTACATTTGACGAAAAATTTGAACTTCAAAAATAAAATATTGTAAAAAATAAAAATATATATATTATATTTAACATTTTTCAAAAAGTTTAGGGGAATTCCCTTAGTCTAATTACAGAATGTTTGTCAAGTAGACCATTTTGAAACAAAATTGATAATTTATAATTTATTTTGAAAGAAAAAATTATTTTTAGACTAAACTGAAATAAATTACATAGTTAATAAACTATTTATTGAATTTAGTCAATTTTTTTCTCCCAATTTTAAAGATTTTGTTTGGATTTTTTTTTTTTGAAAGTGGCATCCTGGGTCTTTTGATTTTTAATGGTGGCATTTTCGGTTATTAGCAATTTGTCATTTAAAATACACATGTATAATGCAA